GTTCAAACCGAAATGAACTTTCGTTTTGCTCGGATATTTCCAGAACATTTTTGGTCGTTTCAAAATAGAAATCCCTTTTGAAATTTGCTTCTTTGTATTTTTTTCGAACGACTTGAGAGGAAAAAAAATGTATTGTAATATGAGAATATTTTAAAGCTCACGGTTGAAATATTTATTTGTAAATTCTATAAATCGAGACAATTCTTCTGTTTTTTTTTTAAGAATGTCGTGTTTGCGAAATGCTAATTGCACTGATTCCATTTTCTGTAGAGAACATAATATATTGTCGGAGCTAGCTAATCCGTATTAAAGAAGCACCGATATTAATAATAAATTTCAACATGTAAAATTAAAATCTTTCTTTAAATTAATATTAAATTAATCATTCATATTATATTTAAAATAACAATAGAAAATTTGAATCGGTATGTTATTGTTTTATACAAATAATAACATATTACGCCCAAATTAAACTTTTATTGTAGTTGTAAGTTCGGAAATGTAGCATAAGAAGAACAACAACAACAAAATAATAAAATTAAATTTTAAACGCTGCATAGAACTTCTATTAATAAGCATACATTTTGCTACTGTGTTTCAAATCAATTCCTTCAATATTTTCTCTTTGAAAGTTTATTTTTAGAAATCTCAAATAGTTTCTAGAGAATGGTTTTGAATTCATAGATAATTAATTAATTAATCTATTGTCACAAAAATTCTGAAGATTTTTAATGGATTTACATGGAGTTGCGCTTAATTAATCGTGTGCTTATTAGACTTTACTACTACTTATTAAATGACACTTGTAATCAAATGTAAACGTGAAAACCACATATAATTTACTTGTAATTTAAATTGAAAATACAAATTAATTTTTAGTGTAATTCTGTTTTTGAAGCTGATTTGCTGGAATTAGTCGCGTTCATTCTCTCTCTCTCTCTCTCTCTCTCTCTCTCTCACTCTCACACTGAATGATGATAAAAGTAGTTTTATCGTTTGTAATTTAGCGGTTCTCCACCATCTTAATCATAACTCGTAAGGCACCAAAGTGAAATTATAATTGTTTTCACACAAGCAATTTTGTCACCACCGAACTAATTCCCCAAATACCTAAATACCATACCGTGTCAACCTTCTCCCGTCTATATATATATATATATATGTGTGCGTGTGTGCGTGTGCGTGTAATTCCCAATACAGTGAAAAATGTCGATTAGTCCAAACCATTAAAACATTCCACTTGTTACGAACGAATTAGAGCCCGAGACTCCATAATATAAAGCTTACACGCGGGTGTAAAAAACCTCGTGAATCCCGTATCCCACGTGGCAATAAAAATCCCGCCGTGTGTCTTAAGCAGAGTCGCTATCCTCTTCTATCTTCCCACGCACGATCACAGGACGAGTTTCGTCGCGAGCATATGTAGTGTTTATATTACTCCTGGGGTGAGCGGGACACTGATATGCGTCCGACGGCCGCCGTCGACGCTTTGCATTACAATTGATTGGACCTTCCGGTGTCGCAGGTACCAGACCCGACGGCCCCGGGAATTAACTTCCGTTCGTCGGTTGCTTAGCTCGAACATCCCCCAGATAATTTTTACACTTCGTTTTTCGGCTTAGTCGGCTAATTGCGTACTCGGAAGTTTTTCCCTTGCACATGGAGTATTTGCATCCGCCGTGGCTTCATTGGAGGATATATCGTTTTAGTTGTATCCCATGAGAAATTAACAAACTTGAAGTATAATTAACGCTTGCGTTTAATGGGAGAGTCATAAATGTATTATCCATTCGATGAACTTTTGCCGATGCGTGACCCCTGAAATTGTCGCCAGATTTTATTTCTGAAGAGGCTGTTAATAATGCAGATTTTTTTACTTGAGGCCGAAACATTCGGGTTTGTTACCCGAAAATTAAATTCACCGCTTACCAAACGAATATATTATAATTATATATATATATATAGAGAGAGAGAGAGAGAGAGAGAGAGAGAGAGACACACATTATAACGCAAGATTATTTCAAATTCCTAATATTAAACGTTTCTCCGTTGTTAATAGTACATCAGAGTCTAATATAAATACAGATAAGTTTAACTTAAAATCCTTGAGACAAGGATAGCATCGACTTTTAATCAATTTTTCTCATCTTCGGCAATTACTCCAAGTTGGTGTTATTATTGGAAACATCATATTTCAAAATTAAAACATCGTCCCACAGCTGAAGCGCATAGATTTTTATGGATTTGCTTATTATTATTATTTGCCAAGCCAATTTCTTTTTACGACCTTCTTAAATCCATGGTTTTTCTCGTTAATAATTATTTAATCAGTATTTCAAGGGAGATATCGTAAAAATAACTGTTTTTACACATTATAATAGATCGGACCTTGAGTAGTCCATTAGTAATAAATTGATGTCCGTACAAATTCCAGTAGATTATCAGTAGAAAATTTGCTTTCCCTCTTAGCGTGAAGTAGTGAGAAAAAATAATTCAATATCGTTAGCTAATTCGATATTGTCTCTGTTTCCATGGTACAAGTGCATACCTGAGTAAGACGTGACCAACGGTTAGGTACAAGTATCGTCATAATAAAGTATGATGTCGACTGTTTCTTCGAGAGGGGTTGGGTGGGAGGGGGTAATAATACCAAGAAAGGCAAAGAGGTACTTAAGAACGTACCGAAGGTCTACTCGAAATTCATTTCGGATACAGGTGGGGCAGTTTTATTTCCCGGGGTTTACGCCCGAAGGCTTGCGTATTTCTCTTGAGATTGCCTCATATTAATAACTTATTTCACTTTCTCATTTGCAGAGAGGCCGCCGAGGAAGAACTGTATTGAGGCACATCAGCCAAACAATCAACTCAACTCTAATATAAATAGTGAGTAAAAGATTTTTTTCTTACGAGTCGTTTTCCCATTCGTTAGTTTTATATAACATTATATTGGCGTGATATCGCTTCAAATGTAATGAATTTTTACACGCAACTCGTGATCCAGCTTGGTATAAAATTTAATCTTAAAATTTCATAATTGTAATATAAAATATCGAAGCTTTTAATGAGACTTTAATAAGAGCGATAATATAAATTTCAAATTTATCATTTATATTATATTTCAATAAGATATTTTCTTATATTTTCTTGATATTTTATTTATCTAGCATTGGTATTTTTAATTTAAAGGCGTTATTAACTACTTTGTTTAATGCTTAAATCAAATAGCGAAAATGAAATCGTTAATTTCTTAAGTAAACGTATATCGATATTAAAGAGTTATTTAATTTAAATAAACAAATTATTTGAAATAGCGAACAAACTAGTCATATTGTTCTCAAGCATAAATATGATTCTCTTTGTTGATGTTTTTTTTTTTTGCATTTATTTATTTTGTAAATTTCAAGGAATCATAGAAAACGAATGGACTTATACGTTAAAAAATGCAGGTCAATAATTAAGTTAGAATACTTTTATAGCACTCTATGCACAATCGTGTATCTCTCGTGATCTTGATCTCATAGCCTAACAGTAAAGGTTATTTATGAATCTACGATATTATACAAACTTATCGAAGAATAAATTTTGTTTTCACGAATTAGTAAAAAGATTATAAATATGTAAAATTTTTAAATATAAAACTTTATGAATCTTATCACTCAGTATAGAGAATTATTAATTTATGCCATTTTTACAATATGTCTCTCTAGTACGAGATCTGCCGATCTAACGGATATTTTATCTTTTTATTTCATCTATTTTTATCGCTAATTTTGTGGGTTATTTCTTAATAACAAGTATTTTCACATTTCCTAAACAGAGAATTTACGAAAGGAAGTTTAGCATTTCAATGGCTGTGTACCGCCTATGCATTAATATTATCTCACGAGAATATTCATACACGAAAATGTTATATATATATATAAATCTGCATTATATTCACAACATTTTGCTGTTTCTTAATAGATTGCAATTTTTATTATTACTGGGAAGTATAATGCTATTTACATTTTTTCTCAATTATAAAAGTTACTTACATTCCAATTTTTAAACTTTCAATTTATTCAAACGCTCGACTTTCTCTCAACGACGCCAAGTAATTATCTAACTAACAAATAAGTCACCCGTTTGTACAACAATTTTCTCACGTCTCGAAGACAAAAAGTTGTAGTAGTCTTTTCTTACTATAATTTACCCGATAATTATCGGCCAACTATTCATTTCACATGAGTATATTGCCACTTTTTAATGCAATACATTATAATTAAGGAACGAACGTGCGGTCAGGACTGAAAAGTCTGGAATTGCGACTTATTGAGCAAATTTGAGCAAATCGTTCGATTATTTGAACGGAAGAAAGTTCGCCAAGCTTTCACACAAATAACGTCCAATCGAACAACTTACGATCGTACATTTTTACATATTCCCGTCTCATTTGCCTGACGTCTACCTATCCTCGCCTATCCTCAATAAGAATTTCTCTCCACTCTGTATATCGCGAGCGGCCACTAGTGAAATGAGAATACGGATGGCTGCGAATGCACGGATTACCGATTGCCCGGTAACGGGCTTCCCCCATACACACGGTACCCACGGATTTGGTAGGGGAGTGGCGAGAGGGGGAGGTAGGGTTTACGTAGTTAGTCGAATCGTGTACGGGGAGCGTCGAATTTTCCCCCGCTTGAATTTTAACGGTATAGCCGGTCATCGTCATGGGCCCCGGCTTTCCTCGCACCGACGCTCGCCTTAGATGCCTTCGTACATTTCCCGCGTCGGGAGCTCCTCCGCATCCAGAAGTACAGCAGCGGTGTCCACATACCGTATGGGTAGAAGATCCTCTTCGGAGCTTCTCGCTGGCGCTAATAATCGTCCGACCAAGACCAATTTCGGGAGTCTCGATCCTTCTACCTCGTGTGCGCGCGCGTACGGGCGTATGTGTGCGCGCACGAGCTCCTCCCGTGTTTCATATTGTGAAGAGACTCGTTTGTGTGTTGTGTAATGCAAAATGCATGAATGTGCGCGAGTGGACCGGGTAATTTGTGAAATCCGTGGCATCCGACGATTTTGTCGCGCGTAGCGTCATAATTAGAATTGCGTTGTTATGCGTTTCCTTTGAAACTTGGTATGCAGCAAAAAGTTGCAAAAAGTTCATTTCGTTGGATGGAGTCTGTGCTTTCTGTTTCTTAGCTACGGCACTACAAGGGGTGGGGTGGGAAATAAGCAATGAAACTATTTTTCTTCTATTCAATGATTCTATTCTTCGAAGTGTTGGCGAATTTCTTTTCATGCCTAAAGCGTCATTCATTTTAAGCCTATGGTTTTTATAAATTTTAAAAATTGCAAATTGCAGTATTAGTAGTCGTCCGAGTTAATTTCAAGGGAGTTAATGTAATGAAATATTTTGCAAAATAAATATATTTATCGTAATAAGTTATAAAAGTAATTGAATTGATGAAACTCCTGCAATTATTAGTAATTAGAAGTGCGCTTAAATGAGATCTTTCCTTAAATATTTAGGTTAATCATACTATATTATAAATTACTGTTTTTAACTAAATATGCAGTCGAGCGTATTGAAAAGCGCAGTTGTAATACATAAAATCACGTGATTACAATGCAAATAAATCTGATTAAATTAAACAATCTTTTATTGTAAAATGGTTGTGAAATAATTTAGCTTTAGATTTTCATTATTGTTTTGTTGTAGTTTAATTACAAGCTTTTACCTTTCTTAAGAAATTTTTATAAACTGCCGACGCGCCATTCATTACTCGACTCTATTATAATTATTCCATTATCATTATTGAGCAAACGATAAATTTTCATCAATAATTTCAATTTTGAAATTACTCGCCGTTTCTATGCCATTAGAAGATAGAACACTATTTTATAAAGAAATTGATTATTCGATTGTAATGTTATTTTTTTTTTTTTTTTTGCATTGAAAAAGCACTTTGTTTAATGCAATATGCATAGTTAAGGACGAAACAGAAACAAGTGTAGATTAATAGAAATTTATTACAATTTAATTATCAAAATCTTATTTCATTGAAATTATTCGAATGTTTCTGAAACTCATGCGATAATATATATTATTAGATAGCTCTGAGTTCAATTAATCTGCATTCGTTAAAAAACGTATCTAATTTTACTCTGCAATAGGGTCGATATATCCATAATGGCCACTACATTGATTGTGGCTATTTTCGAAGGTGAGCACTCGCAACTGCCAGTATTTACAAATATTATTAAAATCATTATTAAGGCGACTAATTTATTTTCATTATTTTTCAATTTCGTTAATTAATTATATCAAGCATATAGTCAGATTAATGAACGGACCTTTAAAAGTCAAAATAAGATGAACGATTTTTTTATTTTTTTAATCTTACTTTATAGCCTAATATTTACTAGCAATTTTATCTATAATAAAATATATGAATTTCACTGATTCACCGCAATAATAAATATATAAATTCGTGTGTTAATAATTGATAATCGTCAACGGATATGATATAAGGATTCTCTATAAATTATATTTTTGCGAAAATAATTACATTTTCTTTATATTTCTTGTTTTTGCAGAATCAAACCTTTCAACAGTTAGAAAAGCGCCGAGCATTAAAAGTGTTCAATCTAATGTAAGCGCGAAGCAAAAAAACGCAACGACTAATAAAGGTAAGATATTAATTTCTTTTTCTTTTCATTTTCATTTTCAATTTATATATATATATATATATATATATATATATGAAATAATAAATGCTTCTGTAAGTATAGGATAAGTGGAGCGTGCCTTTAAGTACATTAAATGATTTAGAAAGTTCTTAATATTAATTTTATTGGTCTTAATTTATTTATTTGGGAATATATTTTTCATAAAAAAAAATATAAGTGTATAGTCGATAGATATAGAGCTGCAGAAATTTTCGATCGGCGTTCAATACAATGTTTTATATATATTAATATATACATGTTTGTTTACACGGATACTTTACGCAACTGTAGAATTAGGAATTATCGTTCACTTTGTTTTACCAAAAGTTGAAGCAAAAATTCTTATTATACACGTTCTTTTTACAATCTAACAAGGTTATGAGAATTAAAAAAAAAGTAGGATAAATAAAAATGTAGAAAACGTGATGGTATATCAAGCGCAGGAAACCGCTTCTGCCTAATAAGTGGAGCCTTGTTGTAAAGTTCGTGTAAATTCAAACGGCACAAGCGTAACCATAAGTAAACGGAATACCAAACGAATGCAAACGCAGGAATATAACTTTGGGCGCTTTGCTTAGGAAAAGCAAATTGTAATAAAAGCAGGTGTAACGATAACGAGTGGTGCGCGGCTCATTTTACAATTGGCATCAAAAAATGTCATTCACAGATGCCACACACCGTCTATTAAACCTTCGGCGGCCTCGCCAATATTCGCTTTTACCGGTGCTCCGACTCGCTTTGCAAAAAAAAAAAAAAAAAAAAAAAAAAACCCCAGGCGTAACGCTAACTTGTAAAATAAGGAAATAGAGGCGATGGCATGAAATAAGCGCCTCCATCGCACGTCCTCATTTATTTTCCCACCTTGTGGAGTTACATTACGCCAACGTAGTTTCCACGGAGTTTCTAATGCCTGCGTCTGGCCGTTCGCATGCGCGTGTTTCATGGAAAGCGAAGAAAAAGTACCGGAGATTTTCGCTTGATAGTGCAGCCTCAAGCATTTAGGTTGGCTACTTTTCATGCAATCATTATTCTACTGTTCCTCGCACGTAAATAATTTAATTGGAACAATGATAGTTTTCGTGTCGAGTCTCTTCCGTTGACCTAGTAAAATTATTGTTAATCATAGAAGCATTTTTTGTTTATGCAAACTTTGTGGTTAGAGTGATGAATGGTCGTGGGATTAAATTTTCGATCTCCTTGATTATAATTATTTAGTTCAAAATAATAAAATAACGACCAAGTATAGCGTTCAAATTGGAAAAAGATTTTAAATGAAAATTGTCGTTCTAACATTGTAAATGTTTTTTCGTGGGGTGGATGATGGGGGGGGGGTGCATGTATTATATAAAATTTCATAAAATAACTTTTATAATATATAATAAATATAAATTTATAATATATATATATAAATAAAATAAATTTTATTTGTTTAGAGTCGACAAAATAAATGCATTTTTATTATTTATAATATTGTATTCGTTAAAAGGTAAAAAAAAAAAAAAAAAAAAAAAAAAAATAAGTGGCAATTCTTTACAGGAATGGTCATTTAGTTAAGAAATCAAAATTCTTACATTCGTATGATATGCGAAAAATTACTGAGCTCTTAATTTGTAAATCATTGCGAGAAAATACTTAAGGATTAAATACGCAATTTTAATCTAGCCAAGAACATCATAAATACACGTGTCATACGAATAAAAAATTAAACTTTTTATTAATATACATTTGATTAAATATCATTGCTTTCTAATAAATTTTATTACTAATAATTATTGTAATTGTCTTGTCCAATAAATAAGCAGTAAGAAAAATTATGGGAATCGAGTTGTCTGCGTCAAGTTCTATCCTTTTGGGATTTTAACGCGAATTTAATGATTTTTACGTGTTCGATTTTATTCATTAAATTGGTTTGAGAATTTATAATTTTGTTCGTTTAAATTTTGTTTTATATAATTATTCATCTGATCGAAGAATTGTTTACATTAACAATGAAATGATCAGATCGACATAATAATATTATACTTCATGCTTTATTAAATCGTAAATTCGTATCATAATTAAAAACTTTACTTTTACCACGCACTTTTCATACTTGAACTTTATTATCTCGCAACAATGTTAATAGAGTGGTGTGTCAAATAAAAACGATAGCTTTAACATTGAACTCATTGCTCTGCTAAATTTTATTAAGAGGAAGCTCTAGACATATAAAATACAATAAATAAACTATTTTCTATAGTTTTTTTTCAAAGCTAAGTTTCTTAATAAAAAATGGCATTGCTAAGCTGATAACATAACAAATTTAATAACATTTATTTTATTTGGACATTCGATGCATGATAAAAATTAATATATTATCAAAGATATGTAACAATTGTTCATAAAAATTTTTTTTTTCCTTTTTTAAGTAATCGAATCAACTTTAATAGCACCAATTTACTTACTATTTTCATTTTGCTTTTGCATGGCCAAGAACAGCTTTACGATCATACGAATTTCTATCTATTTCTCAATACGTCAAATCTCTCAGTGCTCAGTGTATATCATATTATAGCGATGCATACTTAATGCTATGCCTATACTCAATACTGTACCGATAAATTTCTAATTAAACAGTGAATGGATTCACTTTTTCGCAATAAAAATTGGAGAGCCAAAACTATACAATTATTATAAGATTGCTATGCAGAAAACGTCGAGCATAATAGCATCAAGATATCCCGAATATCTAATTATACGACAATTAAGGAAGCATCGCTAGCTCCATGGATAATTCCCAAGGCGAAAGTAAGGATATCTGGAGCTAAATCTCAATGTTCAATTTTGGAGAGCATCCGGGTCGACGGTAGAGCGACGCATCGCGCGACCGTCGATGCCCGTGACAATTTTGCATAACGGATCGTTTTTTATTTTTTTTTATCCTCGAGCGGAAGCTCTGATTTGTAGCGGTCGTGATGCGTTTCCCTCCCTCATCACGCAGGCGCTTACGTGCGTAACGCCTTGTAAAAGAAAGCCGACGACGATGACTTTCACTTGCTGCACGCGCCCGTCCTTTTCCTCGCGGATCTCTTCCTTTGTAATGCAACGTTCGCTTTGCGGGATTTTGTCGCTGCGTGGCAGGGTGATGCCCGAGGAGGGCACTTCTTTCTTCCTTTGCCTCCATGTCCCGAGTACAGTTACTTTCTGAACTGAATGCGCGATAAAGTGGAAATTTAGAAATCGGTTCATTCGCTCGCTTACGCGAAAGGGAGTTTTTATTCATTACTTTAATAAATTTTATATAAAATTATGGTTTAGTTTATTATGTAAACGAGATGCTAAATCTCGTTTCATCCTCATCTTGGGGGGATCCTGATGTTGCCTCTTAGTGTTGCCTCTTGGTCGCGATATCGTTTGTGGATTCCCCTTGCCTCGAGACTCTCATCTGTATATTTATTCATTTCACTTTAAATTTCTAGTTAACCGATCGACTCACGATTAAAAAAAAAAAATTGAAATTTGAATCATACTTCTTTTTTTTTGTGAATTATTGCTTTATTGTTTGGAATATTCATATATATATATATATTATATATTTACAGTCACTTGTTTTTGTGACGTCCAGTAATATATTAAAGAAGAATTAAGAATTTCTAGAGAGCGGTGTTTGTGTATGTTAATTGAGGTATATTATCGTTAATGCTTTCATTTTCAAAGTTTTTAGTTCTTGTAACGCTTTGTATTGATTTGCGTGTGTTTTCAATATCCGCTTGTTTATGGAATGACGATAACTGAAAACAAAATATCAATGAAATATAAACATATAACGAATATTGGATGATAATGAAACAACGTTTAAATAAACATGCACTCGCCGCCTGCTTGTCTCCTCCTCCTCCTTCTTCGCCACTTGCACATATTCGTCCAGACTACTTTATTCAATTGCAAAAGAATTTCGTTCGTCTGAATGCTCTATTTGGAGCCATTTTATCCGAGTTCATCATCGAGCAGCCAAGTAAAAGATAAAGCTACACGGTGCTCTGATTTATTAATCTGCAAATCATGCGACTTATCGTGCAGCGCAGATTTACTCTGCATTTTATCGGGACGGATGTCATCGAGAGATTTACGTAGTGAAACAAAATTTACATTATTATTGTGTTTTTTTTTTTTTTTTTTTTTTTTTTTTTTTTTCCAATGAAATCTCTCCTCGCTCGAGTCCACTCGAGTTTTGTCTGGCTGGTGGGTGGGGCGGGGGGAGTAGCGGGGAACGAGACGGTTAACGCGCGCCAAAGGGCAAACAAGCGCTTTGCCCTATTACTCTAGTCGACACGATCGTAAATGCGCATGAATTAATGCAAGCGTCGAGGAAAATTCAATGGCCAACAGGATCTGTATAGCATCTCCATAGTAGTCGGGCGCTTTTGGACATTCGGCTTATCTCTCTTAGCCCCCTTCTCACCCTCCCTCGCTCACTCGTTCGCTCGCGGACGCTCGACTCAGGCGGAGCGAGGGCAGCCGGCCAGAGCCGAGGAAGGAAGGGAAGGCAGAGCGTAGTAGATCGCCAAGGTGAAGCTCCTCGTACGTACGCGCAGCTATTAGTACTCGTTTCTCTCCTGACGGAGGTAAATAGAGGCAGATAAATAGGCAGATAGAGCGAGCAGCGCGAGGGAGGGGCGGGGTGGGAGAGGGAGAGGCGGAGCTCGCGCGTCGTGCTAATTCAGTCGGCATCGTGATTTTCGACACAGTGCCTTGTGTGGCTGCCCCCGGTAAGTCCCGTAGTCGTTCGCATCATAGTTGCGCGATCGCGCACTTTGTCGCGATCAAACGCATACTTTACCCTGTGATGGAGCTAACGAGAATTAAGTAGCGATGGATACACCGACGCGCGCCTTTATTAATTTTTTTACGGTAAAAGTGACGTAACCAAGTGCGATGTGAGGTTCGAGGCCCAAGGGGTGTTTTAAAGATGAAACGCAAGTCGAGACGAGGACGCAAAGTGAGGTTCAAGGGATGGAAGAGGAGCAAATGTAAGAAGATGGTTATGACGTGAGCGACGAGTTGCGTGAATGTCGATGTGCGCGCGATCTTTATTCGCGATCGATACGTAAATGCACACATTTTTTAATAAAGGGGGAAATAATTTCGTGGACAATTATAATAATTGTACTATCGTCATTGTTGCGGTGATTTAGCGTTGAGGTTATACGCTTTAGACCCGCGGCGGCCCTACAGCTTATGACGTAAAAAAACGATTCATTTGGCACGTAAGTTAACCATATTGAAATTGTCACCGAACGGCAATGTTATGTGAAAATGTAGCGGTCGGCGTTAACAGGATTAGTTTAACCTGAAAATAGGAGGATAAAATTATAGTTTCAAAAAACGACAGATTAAGAAATTCTTTAGGAATAATCATGTTTCTATTTTCGTTAAAAGCTTTTGACGCGTGCGAACTTCTTAGCGCAGGTGAGGAGACGACGTATCACTTAAAAGGGCGAAATAATGGCAAGAAATTTGGTTGAGGGAGAGCCGAGGACGCGTCCCCGTCTGCATGCACCAAATTACCAGAAATAATGTTGCGATTGCGTTGTCATTATTAGTTACAGAGCGCAACACCGCCAATAGTAGTAACTCCAACAACCGGACGGCTAACGTCGGCAAGGATCACGGTAGTAGCAACGGCTCCGTTCTCAATAATCACCGTCACAACAACCACAATCATAACAACATCATTATCAACAACAACAACAACAACAACACCAACAACAATAACAATAATAACAACAATAACAACACTAACAACAACAACAACAACAACAACAACAACAACAATAATAATAATCACGTGCTGGTTGCGAGAGAGGCTATCGCGCTGCCAGCGCTCACGGCCACCAACCAGCATCAGTTTCACAAGCTGGGCACTAGGGAGCAAGAGGTCCAAGTCGACATCAGCGACGCGATTAAGCTTGAGGTTGGCTGCCCAAACAACGACCGGAGCAAACAAGTGGAGGAGACAATCCAGGCCCTTGCCATAACCGTCCAATACTTGACGCATCAGGTGAGTATTATTGTTGCTGCTTTTACGCGCCGTCGACTTTTCTGCAATGTCGCGACAACTTTCACTCGCTTTTCTTCGCTATTTTGCCTAATTTGGAATGAATGGAGGAAAAAGATTTAGCTCTTTCTAATTGGTAAATTTGTCGAAACGATAACTATAACCGTGTGCGCACTTTCGTTTTTTGTTTTTTTTTAATTTTTTAACGATTTTATATCGCGTGGATATCCGACGGCCAGCCGCTCTTATTAATTTAACCTATTACTTTCGCGTTCATTAATTAAACGTGTCTCACGAACATTAGAATCAATCGATTAGTAATCGTGAGCAAATCGCCTTCCGTTGAATTGTACTCTTGCCTTCTGCTCCCCAGCTATTCTAGCAGAGTTCTAGAGGTGTAGAAACGAAGTTCGAAGTAGGTAAGGGTACGAGAGCATTCGGACGTGCATCGGACATTTAGTGTCGCCGAGAGAGAGAGAGAGAGAGAGAGAGAGAGAGAGAGAGAGAGAGAGAGAATGGATAAAGGGAACAAGATCCTTGTAGTGCTGAGTATCGTAGAATGGTCAGACCATTGATCGATTGATCAGAACATTGTAGGGGGACTAGGCTCGCTTAGTTTTTTTTTCTTTTTTCGCGCAATGATAGCAATATTACGAGAAACGCGTCTAAACGCCCATCAGAGGTATTGGGATTTATCTATTTTTTCCTTTTTCTTTGCTCTGTTTGTCACCTCAGAATACACTTACCCTATTGCGTACCATATCGACGTTCCTCCTTGTTCGTTGTTCATCCGCTGCCGAGAAAAGCTACGCTGAACTTGATAACGATGTTGTTTTCTCATTACATTAAACAATCGAGACAACGCGTGTTGTTTTCTCGAACCATCCAATGGCGCCATTCTCAATTATTTATACCGAGTGCTCGCCATATTAGTGTGTCGATATCTGGTGAATCTAGATGTTTCTACCTACGATGAAGATGCGTACGTTGGAACGTGTTACAATCCGATAGCTTCATTAATAAGACGCTTGGGCTCGAGGATGGACATTTAATTCTTTTAAATCCGTATGAGTGTGTTTCTTTGTTGACGAACTCAATGTTCTGCGTTGAGACGTGCAATTTTTGAGGGAATTTTGCTAATCCGGGTGCCGTTTTCAACGACGATAGTGTTGAGTGTGTCGTGCCGGCTACCATATTTGATGGTGATATAGCAAGAACCTGTCGAACAATAACATCTAATACTGTAACGGTACAATTATTATCAGGAGTATTAGAAAGCCCGAAATTTATGGGGATTATCGTAATAAATTTTACGTTGAATTGCCAGAGTTGTCTTTATTTACGAGACAAGCTTGTTGTGCGCGCAGTAGCTATTTAATTATAAATAAATTATATATAAATTTTTTTTTTAACTTTTTTTTTTATTATTTATTATTATTAATTTAAATGAAGAAGGTAATGGAAAGGCACTCGAACAGTCGAATTCGACAAATTTACCACTATATTATTTCTTCTTCGATTATAATTCGTCCGCGTCATTATATAGGCAATGTTTAATAACCAACTCTTACTGTTTAACCGTCGTTATTAGCTGGAAGGTATCTCCCTCTGCCGACTTCGGAAGGACTTCGACAAGATGAAGACCGAATGGCTATCGATGAGCTCCGAGTTGGAAGAGTTGCGGTTGCGAAAATCGGGCATGGATGATGCATTGAGCCGAGAGAGAGACGAGCATCTTCAGACTATCGAGAGTTTGCGCGAGGATCGTGAGTAGTAGTGCACATGTTTTTTTTTCTTATCCGTAGATGCCTGAGTGGGAGGAAAATTTATGGCCGCATCAATTCAGATTGGCGAATTTAATTCATAGACCCGAGAGGCATATTTTTAGATAATTCTCGTAACTAGATGAAATCGTTAATAATAATTTATGTAATAGAGAGAAGACGATTTTAATTGTTTTATATGCCAGTGCTATCTATGTTATTGTATTAAAATTTGTCGTAAGTCGAGCGATCTCGTATGATAAATGAAATAAAAATACATAGGCGCGTGAGAAAAGGAAAGTATTCTTTCATTTCTAGATTAGTGTATTATCCAATATAAGGGAATAAGTCTTGAGTAAGTCACTGATAAAAGGCGATAAGCTTGTCAATTTAACGTACGTTAAAAGTGGGAAGCATTGGAACAATGCAATGGGGGAAAATTGTAAAAGGCCGCTGTCCCGGAAGTCATATTACAACTGCCAAGAAGGAAAATGATTGAATGAGCGATGTTGGGCGCGCGGAACCGAAGGAGGAAGAATTATTTCGAGCTGCTTTGCCTTGAGCTCATTTCAGGCGCACGACCCTTGCGTCCAAGTGACGGGCGTCGCTTTACAATTTTGGCGCCCGAATTGTCCGTACGCGTTTCAAGAGCTCACCTTTACAGCTTCTTTTTTAATTGGCCATGCACTATTAAAAGTCTCGATCTTTATGATTCGATGTACGCGCCGGCCAGATAACCAACTTTGGCCGTTTGTGTTTTTTTTTTCTTTTTTTTTTTTCCATTTTCAGTTCAAAGTCTCTCCTTATGCGTTCTAAGCACTGAATCATTGTACAATAACTTTATCGGCATAAAAAATTACATTATTTTTAAAAAATCAGCAAAATTTATAAGGAGATATTTGAAATCGCAAGAGAAGCGAACACGTTGGAAATCAACCGCGCGACTACATTCTCTAAATGTTTATTTTATGTTTTCGGCATTTTAGATTGACAACAAAGCAATTTTTCAACCATTATGTATTTATCAATTCAATAGTTTTAAATGGATATAAAATAATAAATAAATTTTACTGTAAATTCTAAGATGATAGAATTCATATAAAATATGTGTATGAGTTGCTGGACATGTTTTTGTGGCTTTGAATTGTTTTGTACAAAAAAAAAAAAAAAAACATTTTTCTTTCAATGCGAAATTGTGAAAACGAGCCTATAACTTATTACTACAATCTAATAAGATTATCCACAATGTTATAATGATTTTTAAGATCTTTTAAATGAAAAAAGTTAATAGATGTGACTTAAAAATAGATCGTACGTAAATGGCAGTATGTATTCAAGGTTGAGACGGTCAATCATGAAATTAACTGAAAACTCGATTTTTAACGATTTCATCCATGTTTTATTTTTAGATATAATAATAATTATAAATTATTATTCCTTGCTAATAATACCTTTGAATAGCTGGCAGAGTCTTTTCTATTGTCTTGCAGGAAAATTATAAATGTGATGTATTATATCGAAAGTAGTTTATTTGTATCAACGATTACTTAACAATGCTTTATTAATTTTATTAAAAAGAAAAATGATATCGATTACTCACTTTAATTGAAAAAAAAAACAACTAAAAAATATTGAAATGTGCTTTTAGTTATATTGAAATATAAAAGAAAATCATACATTTATATAGTAATAATAATAACAGCAATTTTCGCGTTTCTTATGGCAATGTTCAATTATATTAATACCCGTGATATACGTGTGAAATTTTAATTTTATTTAAAATTTGTCGTACATTTGTGTGTTAATTATGTGAATATTTAAATATTTGTTTCCGAATGCGTCGATTGACTTACTTTAATGGTCTTAATTTCTATTTCAACTCAAGAAAACGGTAATCACTGAGAGCGTAAAATTATCAATTTCACTTTCACTAAAGCCGACCCATAAAAACATCGCCGTAAGTCCGACCATTGAATTTGGGAACGTACGTTAGAATAATAATAATGAGTTTTTTTTTAAAACATTAGTATCGAGTGGCCCAATGACGTTTCAAAGGTCAATTTGAAAGTTACTATCGAGGTCAACATACGAATACCATGTGAATTTTACAAGTTAATTACAAGATAATTACCGTGAAAGTCGCGATAAATCTATATTACTTTTATAAGCGCACTATTCAATGAGAAAAATTTGCGAAATCATTCGTAATCAGTATTACCATATACATCAAAACTTTGCCAAATGCTATATTTTACCTAATGTGATTAATTAAAAAAGAATTGTTTCGAATGCTCCTTTACCGTTAATTTGTCAGCTAAGAGGTCAGTCAATTTATATTGTCAATAATTTTTTTTACAAACAAGACTTGTGATTTGATCTCCAATAGCGATCATCTCTCTCTCTCTCTCTCTCTCTCTCTCTCTCTCTCTCTCTTGCGCTAACTCTGATGCTATTCCTTACATTCGTAAATCGAGAGATTAATGTACGCAATTATAAAATTTTTGCTCGTTATGGATTTAACATGATGATGAATCGAGGCATAATATGACTTCCTTAAAAGAGCTGTAGTATCGGCGCAATACTTTCTATTCTTTAGCCTCTAATAGATATTCAAATATTAAAAGACTAAAGTTTGAAATATAGAATGATTGAAAATTTTAACATGTCTTCGTGATGGAAAAATGGTATCACGCATATGTTATAATTTTGAGATGAATGATTTTTTTCGTTATGCTTCATGTTCATTTTAATGAAAGTACTTTAATACAGATTATGTATTTGTAATATTCCATCAAAATAATTGCATATAGTTCATTTGAATTTATTAATAAAGAAAAAAGGCAAGTAAAGCATGGAGTTTAATTACTTTTGACATATCCATAAGAGCGTACGAAAAGTCGCTTAGTGGCATTGGCATTAATAATTAGTTGACATTTTATTTTTCATTTATTTCGTATTGTAAATGATATTAATATTAATAATAATTGAGATGATGATACAGTAAATACTTTAAAAGGCTTCGACTAGCATTTTACGATTCGAGCATTTTAATCGCTATCTCGATAATATTCACTGTAATTTGCCGGATTACCAACACAAGCGCACTTGCGTATAAATGATTTCCATAAGACATCCGTCCATTGAGAAATGAGCGTGTCACGCATTATAAAGAATACGCTATTTGTGTCGTAGTGGATGGCGAGCGGTTGGCGCGTACATCACTCGAACACGCGGTTCAAGAATCGCAGCGTCAAGCGCACGAGTTCCAGGAGCTGCTGCAGGAGCGGGAGCGCGAGCTCGGTCAGACGCGTCGGGCAGCCCAGGCCGTTCAGGACCAGGGCGCCCTCCTCGCGGAGGCCGAGTCCTTGCGTACCGTCCTTGAGCTGCGCAGCCAGGAGAACGCGCAGCTACGCTCAGAGGTTGACCTCCTGAGGCGCGAGCTCGACGAGAAGGAACTGCTCAAGCAAAAATACGACGGCCTCGAGGCAAGGTGCGAGGACCTCAAGGCCCAGCTTCAGAGCAAGGAGACTTTCGAGAGGCAGCTCACGCACGACAACGAGGTGAGGAGATCCTCCGGTTACTTCATTATATTTGAATTTTGGCTTGAACATTATGAGCGTGAGGGGGGGGGAGTTTTCGATCGATCGGTATTCTCTCATTATATGCAATTCTTCGATTGTCCATCGTCATTACAAGTTGTTTGATCGTTATTTATTTAATTGCTAGCAGGCGATATTTTTGTCTTCTGTGATCCTTATGGGAATTAATAAATGTAATAATAATAATAATAATAATAATAATAATAATAATAATAATAATTACACTTGGTTTAACGGGCTAATTAAGCTGCTTGTTATTTTCAATTATGCATACACATTATACATTTTTTATTAGTGTACGCGGTGCTTTTTCCATAAGTATTAAAAATAATTACACTTGGTTTAACGGGCTAATTAAGCTGCTTGTTATTTTCAATTATGCATACACATTATACATTTTTTATATCTAATATTATGGTGATACAAACTTTTTTTTGTTTTTTGTTTTTTTTTTGTTTTTTGTTTTTTTTTTGTTTTTGTTTTTTAACGATACCTTTAATACTGCAATAAATACGTTTACATGATTTTTGCTGACGGGTTAAGCCGGTGATAATAATCAAACGATATATCAACGTTCGATATAATAAATCATTAGTAATTATAACAACAATATATAAGGGAATATGTCACAAAGCGTTTATCGTATGCCTGTATTACGCGCATGTAATTCCATGGCAATGATAATCAATGAGCCGCGTAAAAAGTAAAAAAGCCTCCATACCGCCGCCGCCGCGACTTTAGTTGGAATGAAAAGATCATTTGATTAACGGGCGAATGTTTGTGTCGTTGTCGCAGGTACTGATGGACTCGTTCCACCAGATGTCCAAGCAGAACAAACGTCTTTCGCAGAGGAACGAGGAGTTGCTGTGGAGGCTGCGCCAGAAAAATGAGGTCGTGAGTGTGCTGACGAATCAGCTAACCCCGCCGTCTCAGAGGCTCTCCAAGTCTCTGGGGCCCGAGCACACCGACCATCCTTCCACGGACTGTTCGCAAAAGTCGGAGGTACTCTCATTAATACTTGATCTCCCCCCCCCCTCTCACTTCACCTTGCATTTGTCGATCACGAGAAGAAAATCACCACAAGGACGCGCGTCGCGTGCAAATTATTTACGTTCAATGGCACATCATTATTTCATAATACTTGCATTGCGCCTTAAAGTTCACTAGATTGTTGATGTTCAAATTCACGATTCGCTCTATTTACATGAAGAAATGAGGCGAGCGATTAGTGTCAGTTGAGCCGAAAGAGTTCAAGGGTGAGAAAGTATTGGCCGATCCATAACGGGAGAATATTCAATGAATTATAATTAACTTTCAATTAATTAAGAGGGTAATCGATTTCCTCGCATAAAATTCATCTATTGCCTAAGCTTTTATAATCACTGAATTTTTTTTAAGATAATTAAGTCGCGTTTTTTAGTAAAATTTATCACGGCTAAGATTTTTATCGCGCCATTTAATGCTATTTAATGATAGAAAAATGAATAATTGGAAGGATTAGAACCATTTAACACGTATGTATGAAAGAGCAGTCGATCGTGATTGTGCAGAAGATACAAGTTTCCCTTAAAAAAAAATCCTGATGCAACTCATAGAGCATCATTCATTAACCTTGAGCGTCTCATCGTCACATTTTATGAAGCTAAGAGCGCTTTGACATTTATCACCATAAAATAGTCTAAGGGACTATTCTCTTTTCGACTACAATTGACCATCGCGGCTTGATTTTCTCAGCAACAAGGAAGCAACTGCTCGATGGTTAAGTATATGGTAGAGAAGGGCGACTCGGTATCCTGGACGCTTGACATCACCGAGGGCATGGAGAGCGGCAACAGCAGCAATTACAAGACGCCGAGCCCCTCGCTGAGGCGCTACCACGATAGTAACGGCACGCTCGTGTCGAGGCAGGGCTCCCTCAGGTTGCCGATGACGAGGCGGTCGAACCTTACGTCAGGTCGCGCGCGCTCCAACAGCGTATCTGTCGCGGAGTCGTCGAGGGTTGCGACGATCGGTGCCGAAGAGACCGGCTGGAATCCAAATTTTAACTCCACACCTCTCCAACGACATAGGAACACCCTGGCAACCGGCGATAAATTATGGGTTTGTTTCTTTTGCAATTTATTGTTGGGTGCAAAGGCTACGTACGGTGACCATAGCTATCGCCTTTTCGATTTCTCTGGGTTTTACTTATCATTACACACGGGATTTTCGTAATTTCATCAAGACTTCTTCTTCGCGTTTCATTAGATGGTTTATTTATTTATTTATTAATTTTTTAATTAAATGACTGATTCAATTACTTTTATATTCAAATTACCGATAATACAGCCTATGTCTAACTTAAAAAAGTTGAAAATTGACTTATCTTAAGTGACAAATCACACTTACATCAACACACACAAACTTAATTTTTTTATGTTTTTTGTTCGCTTTATATAATTTGCAATGAAATCTAATAGATTTCTTGGTAAATAGTAATATTCTTAAAAATATTGCTTTATATGCGTTAATCATTTCGACATGATAGAAATAAGCAGATAAATCTCGGAATTTTGGCTGTTTATTATTGAACAAAAGTGGTGAAAACAAAATCATCCTCAGTACAATTTAGATCTTAATTCAAATGCTTTTCTTCTTTGATTAAATCTAATGAACTTGGAGCATTTGTGATATAAAGTATCGATAAATTTGATAAAAATGAACGAATGGCAGAGATGCATTAGTGTATTTAATTATTTGTTAATAATTTATTTCACGTAACCCTTATACGTACCTTATAAGATTTACTTAAGGTTATGGATAATCGTTACGTCAATTATATTTATAAAATTAATTGTCTTTTGTAATTATTCGGTGACTATTATGATAATCATTTCTTGAAAGTAGACAAGAATTATTCATTGATTTTATTAACAAAATTTTTAAATCATCTGTAAATCTAAATTGGGGGGAAGCGAACTTTTTAATAAATATCCCCTCATCTCTTACTAATCGGAATCCCTCAAAATTGCAAACAAAGACGACAAAAAATGCCTATTTATGCAATTACCGTTAAGCATCGTAGTATTAATCTAGATAGTGTAGGAAATTGTTAGAAACACTTTTAACTTCAATATTTTCTACTATTCTTTGTAGACAATTAATCAAAAAGCTGACGTCTCAACATAAAACAAAAACAAAAACATTTTTTCATTTGCTTGGGGCGTTGCAGTCATTGTCGAACACCGTCCCGGAGGCGAGCAATAGCACCATCAACGCTTGTAGCGGCGACGCAAACGTCGTCAGCGGCGGTGTGACCAATAGTGGAAAAGTCGTAACATTGGAAGTGTCGACTACTGACGAGGAGGAGGAAGAGGAGGAAGAGGAGGAAGAGGAAGAGGAAGAGGTTGCGGGTCAGCGGCCTCAGGAAGCGGGGGGTGAAGCCATGATCTCCGAAGAGACTTCAGCCTCTTCTAGCAATGAGGACGACGAGTCCTCGGTCAGCAGTAACGACATTCCCTGACTGAAAATGACGCAGACGCACAGATGGACTAAAACTGTGAAGTCTAATAAAAAGCCTGAGAAATATTGCGCCGGCTACAAGTATTAATCACGTGGGTGGGTGGGTCCCCCCCCCCCCCCCCCCCCC